GTGTGTGTGTGTGTGTGTGTGTGTGTGTGTGTGTGTGTGTGTGTGTGTGTGTGTGTGTGTGTGTGTGTGTGTGTGTGTGTGTGTGTGTGTGTGTGTGTGTGTGTGTGTGTGTGTGTGTGTGTGTGTGTGTGTGTGTTGTGTGTGTGTGTGTGTGTGTGTGTTGTGTGTGTGTGTGTGTTGTGTGTGTGTGTGTGTGTGTGTGTGTGTGTGTGTGTGTGTGTGTGTGTGTGTGTGTGTGTGTGTGTGTGTGTGTGTGTGTGTGTGTGTGTGTGTGTGTGTGTGTGTGTGTGTGTGTGTGTGTGTGTGTGTGTGTGTGTGTGTGTGTGTTGTGTTGTGTGTGTGTGTGTGTGTGTGTGTGTGTGTGTGTGTGTGTGTGTGTGTGTGTGTGTGTGTGTGTGTGTGTGTGTGTGTGTGTGTGTGTGTGTGTGTGTGTGTGTGTGTGTGTGTGTGTGTGTGTGTGTGTGTGTGTGTGTGTGTGTGTGTGTGTGTGTGTGTGTGTGTGTGTGTGTGTGTGTGTGTGTGTGTGTGTGTGTGTGTGTGTTGTGTGTGTGTGTGTGTGTGTGTGTGTGTGTGTGTGTGTGTGTGTGTGTGTGTGTGTGTGTGTGTGTGTGTGTGTGTGTGTGTGTGTGTGTGTGTTGTGTGTGTGTGTGTGTGTGTGTGTGTGTGTGTGTGTGTGTGTGTGTGTGTGTGTGTGTGTGTGTGTGTGTGTGTGTGTGTGTTGTGTGTGTGTGTGTGTGTGTGTGTGTGTGTGTGTGTGTGTGTGTGTGTGTGTGTGTGTGTGTGTGTGTGTGTGTGTGTGTGTGTGTGTGTGTGTGTGTGTGTGTGTGTGTGTGTGTGTGTGTGTGTGTGTGTTGTGTGTGTGTGTGTGTGTGTGTGTGTGTGTGTGTGTGTGTGTGTGTGTGTGTGTGTGTGTGTGTGTATGTTGTGTGTGTGTGTGTGTGTGTGTGGTGTGTGTGTGTGTGTGTGTGTGTGTGTGTGTGTGTGTGTGTGTGTGTGTGTGTGTGTGTGTGTGTGTGTGTGTGTGTGTGTGTGTGTGTGTGTGTGTGTGTGTGTGTGTGTGTGTGTGTGTGTGTGTGTGTGTGTGTGTGTGTGTGTGTGTGTGTTGCGTTCAGGGTCTGTATGTACATGAGTAACAGAATGTGACATTAAAATGCCTCACGAGCCTCTGTTCCTCTGGTCTGGACTCTAGAACTGTGTGGTAGTGACAGGTGCGGTTGTGTGTGTGCAGTGACAGGTGCGGTCCTGTGTGTGGTAGTGACAGGCGCGGTCCTGGTGTGGTAGTGACAGGTGCGGTCCTGTTGTGGTAGTGACATGGAGTGACAGGCGCGGTCCTGTGGTAGTGACAGGCGCGGTCCTGTGTGTGGCAGTGACAGTGCAGGTGCGGTCCTGTGTGTGGCAGTGTGCGGTGTGTGACAGTGCGCGGTGTGTGTGTGGTAGTGACAGGCGCGGTCCTGTCTGTGGTAGTGACAGGCGGTCCTGTGTGTGGCAGTGTCCTGTGTGTGGCAGTGACAGGTGCGGTCCTGTGTGTGGCAGTGACAGGTGTGTGTGTGGTAGTGACAGGTGCGGTGTGGCAGTGACAGGTGCGGTCCTGTGTGTGTGTGACAGGTGCGGTCCTGTGTGTGGCAGTGACAGGTGCGCGGTCCTGTGTGTGCGGTCCTGTGTGTGGTAGTGACACAGTGACAGGTGCGGTCCTGTGTGTGGCAGTGACAGGTGTGTGTAGTGCAGTGACAGGTGCGGTGTGTGCAGTGACAGGTGCGGTCCTGTGTGTGGTAGTGACAGGTGCGGTCCTGTGTGTGGTAGTGACAGGTGCGGTCCTGTGTGTGGTAGTGACAGGTGCGGTCCTGTGTGTGGTAGTGACAGGTGCGGTCCTGTGTGTGGTAGTGACAGGTGCGGTCCTGTGTGTGGTAGTGACAGGTGCGGTCCTGTGTGTGGTAGTGACAGGTGCGGTCCTGTGTGTGGTAGTGACAGGCGCGGTCCTGTCTGTGGTAGTGACAGGTGCGGTCCTGTGTGTGGCAGTGACAGGTGCGGTCCTGTGTGTGGTAGTGACAGGTGCGGTCCTGTGTGTGTGGTAGTGACAGGTGCGGTCCTGTGTGTGGTAGTGACAGGTGCGGTCCTGTGTGTGGTAGTGACAGGTGCGGTCCTGTCTGTGTGGTAGTGACAGGTGCGGTCCTGTCTGTGTGGTAGTGACAGGTGCGGTCCTGTCTGTGTGTAAATGTCAGTTTGTCGTCATGTGCCGTTTGTGCCGCGTGAGTCAAACCTGAACCACATCACCAAACCAACTGTCCCCAAAACCAAGACCTGGTTTAGTCCTGGTTTAGACCTGGTTCAGTCCCGGTTTAGTCCCGGTTTAGTCCTGGTGTAGTCCTGGTTCGGTCCTGGTTTGGTCCTGATTCAGGACTGGTTTAGTCCTGGTTCAGTCCTGGTTTAGACCTGGTTTAGTCCTGGTTCGGTCCTGGTTCAGTCCTGGTTCAGTCCTGGTTTAGACCTGGTTCAGTCCCGGTTTAGTCCCGGTTTAGTCCTGGTGTAGTCCTGATGTAGTCCTGGTTCGGTCCTGGTTTGGTCCTGATTCAGTCCTGGTTTAGTCCTGGTTCAGTCCTGGTTTAGACCTGGTTTGGTCCTGGTTCGGTCCTGGTTCGGTCCTGGTTCGGTCCAGGTTCAGTCCAGGTTTAGACCTGGTTTAGTCCTGGTTTAGTCCTGGTTCAGTCCTGGTTCAGTCCTGGTTTGGTCCTGGTTCGGTCCTGGTTTGGTCCTGGTTCGGTCCTGGTTCGGTCCTGATTCAGTCCAGGTTTAGTCCTGGTTTAGTCCTGGTTTAGTCCTGGTTTAGTCCTGGTTCGGTCCTGGTTCGGTCAGGGGACTGTGTCTCGGCTCTTCTCCGGGTCTGAGGCTCCGTTCGTGGGGAGAGTCGGGGGGGGGGGGGGGGGGGGGGGCTCTGGAGGAAACGAGTGGGAGAAGGATTGATTTTGTGTCGAGAAAAGGAGTGAAAAAAAAGACAGGATGTACGGATGAGAGGATGAGAACTGACAAAGTGGAACCCGCAAGACAAATGAGAGAGGGAGAGGAAAGAAGAGAGAGAAGATGGAGAGAAGGAGGGAGGGGTGAGGAGAAAAGGAAAAGAGTGGAACAGAGATGGAGTGAAAATAGATAGAATGAAGGGAGGAGGAGGAGAGGGAGCGAGGGAGAGCAGATAATGAAGATGGAGAAGAGAGGAGGAGTGTAGTGAAAGAGAGGGATGGAGAGAGAGAGAAGAGGAGGAGAAGAACAGATTTTGTTTAAAAAGAGGCACATGGGGAGGGCACCTGACACACACGGGGAGGGCACCTGACACACACGGGGAGGCACTGACACACACGGGGAGGGCACCTGACACACACGGGGAGGGCACCTGACACACAGAGGCACCTGACACACACGGGGAGGGCACCTGACACACACGGGGAGGGCACTGACACACACGGGGAGGGCACCTGACACACACGGGGAGGGCACCTGACACACACGGGGAGGGCATCTGAGCCACTGCAGCGAGGCACCGAGCCAAGCCCCTCCTCTGGACCAATCAGAGTGCGTTATTTAAAACCCTCAGCCAATCACAGCGCTGCACCTGACTGTAGTACATTACATCATCGACATCTGCATCGAACCGCGACTGAACCAGAAACTAAACCAGAAGCTGAACCAGAACCAAATCAGCATAGAAGTAGGACAAAACTAGGACTGAACCAGGTCTAAACCAGGACTAAACCAGAGACTAAATCAGGACTAAACCAGGACTGAACTAGGACTAAACTAGGACTAAACCAGGACTGAACTAGGACTAAACTAGGACTAAACCAGGACTGAACTAGGACTAAACTAGGACTAAACCAGGACTGAACTAGGACTAAACCAGGACTGAACTAGGACTAAACCAGGTCAAAACCAGGACTAAACCAGGACTGAACTAGGACCAAACCAGGTCTAAACCAGGACTAAACCAGGTCTAAACCAGGACTGAACTAGGACTAAACCAGGACTAATTCACCACATTTCCTGGACTATTGGACCAGGACTAACTAAAGGACTCAGGGTTAAAGTGGAGGTTTTGTCTCTTTCTCTCATGTTCCTCGTCACAAACCTGCTTGAGGAGGTTTTAAACTCCTCCATGTCTGAGTCATCTAGTGATCTCTCCTGGGCCCTGTTTAAACCCTCCTCACAGTACGAGTCTGTACGAGGCTCCGCCCACATGCTCCCGCACTACAATTCCCCATAAAAACACAAAAACACTGAACACAGCAACTGGACAAACCTCTGCAGGGGGAGCGACTCAGCACAGAGAGCAAAGAGAGGGGAGACAGTTCATACCCCAGAGACGTCACACACAACACGTGCTGTTCTAGTTTAGACCTGGGTTAGTCCTGGGTTAGACCTGATTTAGACCTGGGTTAGACCTGGTTTAGTCCTGGTTTAGCTCTGGTTTAGTTCTCGGTTAGACCTGGGTTAGACTTGGTTAGTCCTGGTTTAGACCTGGGTTAGACCTGGTTTAGTCCTGGGTTAGACCTGGTTTAGTTCTCAGTTAGACTTGTCTATAAGCTCTCCTCTTGTTTTATTGGCTCTCCTCTCTGTCAGTCATAGCGGGGGCAGGGCACAAGATGGGCTGGGCATTCAGATTGGCTCTTGTCTCTGATTGGCTCTCCTCTCTGTCCGTCACAGTGGGGGCGGGGCATAAGGTGGGCTGGGCGTTCGGATTGGCTCTTGTCTCTGATTGGCTCTCCTCTCTGTCCGTCACAGCGGGGCGGGGCATAAATTGGGCTGGGCGTTCGGATTGGCTCTTGTCTCTGATTGGCTCTCCTCTCTGTCCGTCACAGCGGGGGCGGGGCATAAGGTGGGCTGGGCGTTCGGATTGGCTCTTGTCTCTGATTGGCTCTCCTCTCTGTTTGTTACAGCGGGGGCGGGGCATAAGGTGGGCTGGGCGTTCGGATTGGCTCTTGTCTCTGATTGGCTCTCCTCTCTGTTTGTTACAGCGGGGGCGGGGCATAAGGTGGGCTGGGCGTTCGGATTGGGTCTGGAGCGTCTGGCGATGGTTCTGTTCGACATCCCCGACATCCGCCTGTTCTGGAGCCGCGACGAACGCTTCCTCCGACAGTTCAGAGGCGACGACCTGCACCGGCCAATCCGCTTCCAGGTGAGACACACGCCGGCCAATCGGAGCCAAGCCAGACAGAACTGAACCACGACTGAACCAGGACTTGTCCTTTTGACATTTATTTTTGCTTCGTAAATTTTGTACAGTTGATTTGGACTGATTTTCCTGCTGCATTCTGGGTAAACAGACAGAGCAGTGCATCGTGGGTGAATTATTCTTTAACTGAATCTGTCCTGAACTCATGAACTCTGAACACCTCCACCTCTCCTCCTCTCTCTCTTTACACTCTCTCTCTCTCTTCGTTCTCTCTCTCTCTCTCTCTCTCTTTCTCTCTCTTTTCTCTCTCTTTCTCTCACTTCTCTCTCTCTCTTTCTCTCTCCTTGCTCTCTTTCTCTTTGCTCTCTCTCTTTCTCTTTTCCCTCTCTCCATTCTCTCTCTCTTTCTTCTGTCTCTCTCTTTCTGGAGTTTGTTGTTGTTAAACAAAAGATGGACAAGTGCAAACTTCACCGGGACATTTACTCTGACGCGACAGGAGCATCAGCGGCAGGAGCATTAATGACAGGAGCATCAGGAGCATTAATGACAGGAGCATCAGCGACAGGAGCATTAATGACAGGAGCATCAGCGACAGGAGCATTAATGACAGGAGCATCAGCGACAGGAGCATTAATGACAGGAGCATCAGCGACAGGAGCATTAATGACAGGAGCATCAGTGACAGGAGCGTTAATGACAGGAGCATCAGTGACAGGAGCGTTAATGGCAGGAGCATCAGCGACAGGAGCATTAATGACAGGAGCATCAGTGACAGGAGCGTTAATGACAGGAGCATCAGTGACAGGAGCGTTAATGGCAGGAGCATCAGGACAGGAGCATGACAGACAGTGACAGGAGCATTAATGACAGGGAGCATCAGCGACAGGAGCATTAATGACAGGAGCATCAGTGACAGGAGCGTTAATGACAGGAGCATCAGTGACAGGAGCGTTAATGACAGGAGCATCAGTGACAGGAGCGTTAATGACAGGAGCATCAGCGACAGGAGCGTTAATGACAGGAGCATCAGTGACAGGAGCGTTAATGACAGGAGCATCAGCGACAGGAGCATCAGCGACAGGAGCATCAGCGACAGGAGCGTTAATGACAGGAGCATCAGCGACAGGAGCGTTAATGACAGGAGCATCAGCGACAGGAGCGTTAATGACAGGAGCATCAGTGACAGGAGCATTAATGACAGGAGCATCAGTGACAGGAGCGTTAATGACAGGAGCATCAGTGACAGGAGCGTTAATGGCAGGAGCATCAGCGACAGGAGCATTAATGACAGGAGCGTTAATGGCAGGAGCATCAGCGACAGGAGCATTAATGACAGGAGCGTTAATGACAGGAGCATCAGCGACAGGAGCATCAGTGACAGGAGCCTCAGTGACAGGAGCGTTAATTGACAGGAGCATCAGCGACAGGAGCGTTAATGACAGGAGCATCAGTGACAGGAGCGTTAATGACAGGAGCATCAGCAGGAGATCAGGACAGGAGCATCAGTGACAGGAGCATCAGTGACAGGAGCGTTAATGACAGGAGCATCAGCGACAGGAGCATCAGTGACAGGAGCCTCAGTGACAGGAGCGTTAATGACAGGAGCATCAGCGACAGGAGCGTTAATGACAGGAGCATCAGCGACAGGAGCGTTAATGACAGGAGCATCAGTGACAGGAGCGTTAATGACAGGAGCATCAGCGACAGGAGCATTAATGACAGGAGCGTTAATGACAGGAGCATCAGCGACAGGAGCATCAGTGACAGGAGCCTCAGTGACAGGAGCGTTAATGACAGGAGCATCAGCGACAGGAGCGTTAATGACAGGAGCATCAGCGACAGGAGCGTTAATTGACAGGAGCATCAGCGACAGGAGCGTTAATGACAGGAGCATCAGCGGCAGGAGCGTTAATGACAGGAGCATCAGCAGGAGACAGGAGCGTTAATGACAGGAGCATCAGCGACAGGAGCGTTAATGACAGAGCATCAGCAGGAGCGTTAATGACAGGAGCATCAGCGACAGAGCATTATGACAGGAGCATCAGCGACAGGAGCGTTAATGACAGGAGCATCAGCGACAGGAGCGTTAATGACAGGAGCATCAGCGACAGGAGCGTTAATGACAGGAGCGTTAATGACAGGAGCGTTAATGACAGGAGCATCAGCGACAGGAGCGTTAATGACAGGAGCATCAGCGACAGGAGCGTTAATGACAGGAGCATCAGTGACAGGAGCGTTAATGACAGGAGCATCAGCGACAGGAGCGTTAATGACAGGAGCCTCAGTGACAGGAGCGTTAATGACAGGAGCATCAGTGACAGGAGCATCAGCGACAGGAGCATCAGCGACAGGAGCATCAGTGACAGGAGCATCAGTGACAGGAGCATCAGCGACAGGAGCATCAGCGACAGGAGCATCAGTGACAGGAGCATCAGCGACAGGAGCATCAGCGACAGGAGCGTTAATGACAGGAGCGTTAATGACAGGAGCATCAGTGACAGGAGCATCAGTGACAGGAGCATCAGACAAGGAGACAGGAGCATCAGTGACAGGAGCGTCTGTCTAGAGCCGACCGATATGGATTTTGCTGTGTGGCCGATATGGAAACCGATTATAATGGGAGTTGGAGCTGCCGATATAATCGTCGATATATTTAGTGATGTAAAAATTCACTGTAAATGTTGAATTGTTTAAAAAACTTCGGTTTGTCTCTGGTGGATTTTAAATTGGGTTTATTTAGGAAACATTTATTGTTCTTCTGCCTCTTTACATCATATTTACAGACAGTAGGTTGGTTTAATGTCATTTTTGCATCACATTCTAGACACTAGTGATGTTTATTCCAGTTCTTTTTAGAGAACCGGCTCTTTTGGCTCGGCTCACTAAAAGCTGCTGGTTCTTTTGGCTCCCAAGTGGCTCTTCAGATTGTTTTGTTGCAAGCAGGACTAAAGCAGGACTGAATCAGGACTGAACCAGGACTGAACCAGGTCTAAACCAGGACTGAAAAAGGACTAAACCAGGACTTTAGGTGTTTCAATGTTTAGTGTTTCAGTGTTTCAGATGTTTCAGATGTTTCATGAGTGTTTCAGTGTTTCAGGTGTTTCAGATGTTTCAGTTGTTTAAGGTGTTTAAGGTGTTTCAGTTTCAATGTTTCAGTGTTTCAGATGTTTCAGTGTTTCAGTTGTTTCAGTTGTTTCAGATGTTTCAGATGTTTCAGGTGTTTCAGATGTTTCAGGTGTTCAGGTGTTTCAGATGTTTCAGGTGTTTCAGATGTTTCAGGTGTTTCAGTTGTTTCAGATGTTTCAGATGTTTCAGTGTGTTTCATGTTTCATTGTTTCAGGTGTTTCAGATGTTTCAGGTGTTTCAGTTGTTTCAGTTGTTTCAGTGTTTCTGTTTCAGGTGTTTCAGGTGTGTTTCAGTTTGTGTTTCAGTTGTGTTTCAGTTTGTTTCAGATGTTTCAGGTGTTTCAGATGTTTCAGATGTTTCAGTTTCAGTGTTTCAGTTGTTTCAGTTGTTTTTGTTTCAGATGTTTCAGATGTTTCAGTTGTTTCAGTTGTTTCAGTTGTTTCAGATGTTTCAGATGTTTCAGATGTTTCAGTTGTTTCAGTTGTTTCAGTTGTTTCAGTTGTTTCAGTTGTTTCAGTTGTTTCATGTTTCAGTGTTTCAGATGTTTCAGTTGTTTCAGGTGTTTCAGATGTTTCAGTTGTTTCAGTTGTTTCAGTTTCAGTTGTTTCAGTTGTTTCAGTTTTTGTTTCATGTTTCATGTTTCAGTTGTTTCAGTTTCAGATGTTTCATTGTTTGTTTTCAGATGTTTGTTTCTGTTGTTTCAGTTGTTTCAGTTGTTTCAGTGTTTCTGTTGTTTCAGTGTTTCTGTTGTTTCAGTTGTTTCAGGTGTTTTGTTTCAGTGTTTCAGTTCAGTGTTTCAGTTGTGTTTCAGTTGTTTCATTTGTTTCATGTTTCAGTTGTTTCAGTTGTTTCAGTGTTTCAGTTGTTTCAGTTGTTTCAGGTGTTTCAGTTGTTTCAGTTGTTTCAGTTGTTTCAGATGTTTCAGAAGCAGCAGGTGGAGGTGTGAACCAGACTTTGTTTGTCTTTGTTTGTGTTTCTGTGATAAATCCCAGAGCTCCAGAGGGACCAGGGGCCATTGCTCAGCTCCTGCCCAGGGTCAGAGCTCTCGTCCTGGGCACAGTCTGAGCCGCGCTCCCTTAAACACTGTGGATGTGTGTAGAGCTCCAGAGGGACCAGGGCCACTGATCTGTCCTGCCCAGACCGAGTGAGCGGCTCTGGGGTCGACTCTGAGGGAGACTCAGGGTCGACTCTTCCTCCAGACGAACTCAGAGGATCTGATCCCACTTTTAAACATTTTAAACTTTTAAACACTGGTCCAGAGATCTGACCCTCTGACCTCCTGCACTCTCAGACTCTCAGTCCTGGTTCAGTCCTGGTTCAGTCCTGGTTTAGTCCTGGTTTAGTCCTGGTTTAGTACTGGTTTAGTCCTGGTTCAGACCTGGTTTAGTCCTGGTTTAGTCCTGGTCTGAGTCCTTGTTTAGTCCTGGGATAGTCCCGGTCTGAGTCCTGGTCTGGGTCCCGGTCTTTGTCCTGGTCTGAGTCTCGGTCTGAGTCTCGGTCTGGGTCTCGGTCTGGGTCTGGGTCCTGGTCTAAGTCCCGGTCTTAGTCCTGGTCTGAGTCTTGGTCTGAGTCCTGGTCTTAGTCCTGGTCTGAGTCTTGGTCTGAGTCCTGGTCTTAGTCCCGGTCTGAGTCTCGGTCTGAGTCTCGGTCTTAGTCCTGGTCTGAGTCTCGGTCTTAGTCCTGGTCTTAGTCCTGGTCTTAGTCCTGGTCTGAGTCTGGTCTTAGTCCTGGTCTGAGTCTCGGTCTTAGTCCTGGTCTGAGTCTCGGTCTTAGTCCTGGTCTGGTCTTAGTCCTGGTCTTAGTCCTGGTCTGAGTCTCGGTCTTAGTCCTGGTCTGAGTCCTGGTCTGAGTCTGTCCTGGTCTTAGTCCTGGTCTGAGTCTCGGTCTTAGTCCTGGTCTGAGTCCTGGTCTGAGTCCTGGTCTGAGTCTCGGTCTTAGTCCTGGTCTTAGTCCTGGTCTGAGTCTCGGTCTTAGTCCTTAGTCCTGGTCTGAGTCTCGGTCTGTCCTGGTCTTGTCTTGAGTCCTGGTCTGAGTCTGGGTCTTAGTCCTGGTCTGAGTCTCGGTCTTAGTCCTGGTCTGAGTCTCGGTCTTAGTCCTGGTCTGAGTCCTGGTCTTAGTCCTGGTCTGAGTCCTGGTCTTAGTCCTGGTCTTAGTCCTGGTCTAGTCCTGAGTCCTGGTCTGAGTCCTGGTCTTAGTCCTGGTCTTAGTCTGGTCTGAGTCCTGGTCTGAGTCCTGGTCTGAGTCCTGGTCTGAGTCCTGGTCTTAGTCCTGGTCTGAGTCTTAGTCCTGGTCTTGAGTCCTGGTCTGAGTCCTGGTCTGAGTCCTGGTCTCCGGTCTTAGTCCTGGTCTGAGTCCTGGTCTGAGTCTCGGTCTCTCTCAGCCTCTCAGCAGGTTTCCTCCTCTTCATAACGACATTTCCTTCTGGATTCCGGATTCTTTCTCCCAAAACGATTTTTTTGACTTGGTGCGAAACATCGGAGGAGACCTGGTGGAACAAGTCACACTCCTGGACCAGTTCACACACCCCAAGTAAGTCAGGTCCCTCCCCGTGTGTGTCAGGTCCCTCCCCGTTGTGTGTGTCAGGTCCCTCCCGTGTGTGTCAGGTCCCTCCCGTGTGTGTCAGGTCCCTCCCGTGTGTGTGTCAGGTCCCTCCCGTGTGTGGTCAGGTCCCTCCCGTGTGTGTGTCAGGTCCCTCCCCGTGTGTGTCAGGTCCCTCCCGTGTGTGTGTCAGGTCCCTCCCGTGTGTGTCAGGTCCCTCCCCGTGTGTGTCAGTCCCTCCCCGTCCCCCCGTGTGTGTGTCAGGTCCCTCCCGTGTGTGTGTCAGGTCCCTCCCCGTGTGTGTGTCAGGTCCCTCCCCGTGTGTGTGTCAGGTCCCTCCCCGTGTGTGTGTCAGGTCCCTCCCCCGTGTGTGTCAGGTCCCTCCCCGTGTGTGTCAGGTCCCTCCCCCTGTGTGTGTCTGGTCCCTCCCCGGTGTGTCAGGTCCCTCCCGTGTGTGTCAGGTCCCTCCCCGTGTGTGTCAGGTCCCTCCCGTGTGTGTCGTCCCCCCGTGTCCCTCCTGTGTGTCAGGTCCCTCCCGTGTGTGTGTCCCTCAGTGGTGTCAGTCCCTCCCCGTGTGTGTCAGGTCCTCCCCGTGTGTGTCAGTCCCTCCCCGTGTGTGTGTCAGGTCCCTCCCCGTGTGTGTGTCAGGTCCCTCCCCGTGTGTGTGTCAGGTCCCTCCCATGTGTGTCAGGTCCCTCCCGTGTGTGTGTCAGGTCCCCCCCCTCCCCCGTGTGTGTGTCAGGTCCCTCCCCGTGTGTGTGTCAGGTCCCTCCCCGTGTGTGTCAGGTCCCTCCCGTGTGTGTCAGGTCCCTCCCCGTGTGTGTGTCAGGTCCCTCCCGTGTGTGTCAGGTCCCTCCCCGGTGTGTCAGTCCCTCCCGTGTGTCTGGTCCCTCCCCGTGTGTGTGTCAGGTCCCTCCCCGTGTGTGTCAGGTCCCTCCCATGTGTCAGGTCCCTCCCGTGTCTGTCCCTCCCCGTGTGTCAGGTCCCTCCCCGTGTGTGTCAGGTCCCTCCCCTGTGTGTGTCAGGTCCCTCCCGTGTGTGTCAGGTGCCTCTTTCTCTCGTCCCTTATTCAAAATAAAAGCCTGAATGCTCTTATTTTGAAGGACATGTGTCATAATAAAAGCCTGACACAGACTCTTATTTTGAAGGACGAGTTTCTTGATCTTGTTTGTTTGTTTGTTTTTTGTTTGTTTG